GTAAGGCATAATATTGAATGAGTTTTTCACCTTTAAAAAAGATCTCCATTTCATTTAAAAATATACTGTTTCTTACAGAAAGACTCACTTTTAATGCAATTGATATTAAGATTTTTGCACCTGTGTTTCTAATCTCTATATATCTGGTTATTGCTAGTCACATTCGGTTACTTTCTGAGCTCCTTGGCATGTGAGCATGAATATAAAGTCATCAGGTAGATTTCAATGGTAATGTTTTTCACATTTTCTAAATTTTAAATTATAAACAAATGAAAAAAGTGAAATATATTTAAATTTGTGCTTTCCATGGAACATTCCTTCAAATAAATATGAAAGTATTTATATTAATACATCAAAAATCATGAAAATTGGCAAATTAATATATTTGAAGGTTGAAAATAGTGTATAGTCCTCATAAAAATCAATTTCAAAATAAAAATTAATTTTATTTGTGAATTTATCAAAGGTATTAGTCAAATTGTTAATTTTACTTCTGCCTACTTTTAGTAGGACACATATTCCACTTTATTTTCTTCTGTTTTGTTTTGGTACAGTGGGGTTTTACGTAGCCTGGGCTGGCCTCAAATTGCCTTACATAGCTGATGATGACCTTGAACTCCTGGTCTTCCTACCTCTGTCTTCCAAGCCTTTTACTGTAAGTATGCACCAGGTCCAGCTCTCTAATTTTCAATGTAGTGAGATATTGATAATATAAAGAATGACACATTATTCTTAGGATGAATATATTATCTTTATATATTGAAAACAGCCCTTCCAAAATGTTCAATCAATTTTACCAATTTCTGGTGTTGTTATCAAGGAAGAATTATAAAATCTGAGACTTCTCAAAGGCTGAAATGAGTTCAGGTAGTTTCCTTTCACTCTGTCATGTCATTTAAACTGGCTTTGAAAGTTGGTGAGGTGATTGTCCTAAATCTTTCACTGACATTGGCTCAAATTATACATAGAAAATCAATTTTCCAAATGAAATCATTAAAACACAAAGTGAAGACTTGATTTTGACTCTCTTGTTTCCAACTTCAGGAGATGTATAGTGTCATCTTATATTGGAATCAACATACTGGCATTGCCATGCAGATGTTTCTAAGTACAGTGGAATATTCTAGAGAAACTGTAACTAGGAAAACCTAAATGTTAATATAAAATAAAAATGTTAAGTAATCGTTCAAATTATATTCTAATATTTTAGAGGCTGGCACTTAGGACTAAACACAATTTAAGATATTTTCCATCTTCTCTTTTTTAGTATTTGGATGCCTATTTCAATTGGTATGCAGCTAAATTTTGGAAACTTTGGTCAGCTGAAATTATTTGGTTTAGATATATGAAGACAAAAGTAGAAATATTAGAAACAATCAATACAGTGAGAAAACAACTAAAACTTGAGGTTTCTCTTTGTGATCCTGATGATGTCACATGGGGACAACTGCAGAAGTTTCAAGTCAGAAAAAGAAAATTCATGTTAGCATGTTGCAAAGTGTACACAGATCCATTACAGCTGAGCATTCTGATGTGCTCAGTGTTACACTGTCTTCACACTAGATTAAAGGCTAAGAGCCCATTCATATGTTGATCTTGCTCTAGGACTCTATTTGGAAGGAGCAAGATCTTCAGTACTTTTCAATATCCTCCAGAGCTGCTGGTGTCTACCCCAGAACCAGTTCTGTACAGTACCTCATTCCAGGTTCTCATGTACAGTGGCCAAACCTTCTGTGAAGGTTGAACTAGACATAGCATCACAATGGAGAAACACAATTCATTAAATATTCCCTTGAAACTTGTGATGTAAAAAAAGTATTGCAATTTAACTGAGAAGAATAAAATACTCTCAAGCCACTCTGTGATAGCAAAGATGTCACCCTAAAGTCAGAGTGTGAGGCACCCTATAAAAATAAAGCAAACCCATTGAAATCTACCTGATGACTTTATGTCCATACTCAGGTGCCAAGGATCCCAATGCAACCCACTGTTACTAGTAATTTTCAGATACATAGAGATTAAAGACACTTGGGCAAACATCTAAGTGTTAGTAGCATTAAAAATGTAGGAAACAGCATATTTTAGAATGAAATGGAGATCTTCTTTAAAGGTTAAAAACTCATTCAATTTTACATCTTACACGGTTTATACTGAGTTCAATAGTGTGTCACTGTATTAATTCAACTGTGAACCTAAAAATTTACAGCCACTTTTGAAAGAGATGTATCCTTGCTCTGGAAATTGTTGCTGAATATATTAAAGCAGTAATGAGATGCTTCTTCTTAAAAAAAAAAAAAAGAGGAAACAAACAAACCAAAAACAAACAAACAAACAAACAAACACAAAAGCAACAAACAAACAAAAAAAAAAGTGAAAGAAAGCAGAGAGGGCTCCTGAATCCGAGGAACGGACAGCATGGGAAGGGCTAGTGGAAGGAGGCCCGGGCTGCCGCAGGCGCACAAGTAATGACCAGTCGTTCTTAAAGATAAACGGAAGGCTTCTGGAAACTATGTGGTCAAATCTGGAGAAGAGCTTTGTAAACGGTTACTAAAAACAAGAGCTTCTTCTATATAAGCTTAAAATATAGCAGGGTGTTAATAGAAAATAGTCTATAAGACAAAATCATGGAAAAATTAAGACGTTATTCAGACGGGCCTTACTCATTTCTCAGTAATGATTATTGTGGAACTCAATTGTGATAAAAGTCAAGTGCTAGGAACTGTGCTCTTATGCTTCCCTGAAAACCCAATGAGGTGTGTCCCCAGAATACAGGTGTCCCAGGTGTCCCCGGTGTCAGTCATGCTGCGTTCCACAGGCACTCACCTGTATCCGTTCCACTTCTAGAAAGGTGGCGGTCTGGAAGGCTCGTTCCCACTGGGCAAGATCGCTCTCTAACTCTACAGAGAAGTACAGGTCCTCTCCACACTCGGACTGCACAGTGAAGCAGTGTTTCCGCCGGTCCAGGAGGTCACTGTCCTGATGAAAACCTGGAGTTACGCAGGCTGGCATACATCAACTCACAGCGGGGATGGCAACACTCCCCAATAACTAATGACGAACAAACTATCACTAAGACTGCTTTGAAAATGGTTAGCAAGACAAACTTTTCCCACCTCAAAGTCCACATCTGATACGTTTGTTCTCCATGTCACCACTGATGTGCAACGGGGGAAGGGACTCTGGCTTCAGTTCTTACAAACAGAAGCACCACAGCACTGAGCGCTGATTGCAAGGGCTGACCTACAGTTCCTTTCTCCCTTACAGAGCTCTCGAGACACTGAGGCTGCTGATCATGTCGACAGCTTTCAAAGAGCTGCTTTAGAAGAGACTTTTACTAAAATTTCTGTTTAAAATTTTTTTTGATGAATTTTTGTGTATTTCTTAAACCCTTTAAAAATCAGGAATCCACTGAAAGTGTAAAACAAAACAGTGTAGTTTGTGTATGGCAATTATATTGCATCTCTCTCAAAAAGCAAGCATTTTATTTATTTCTGTAATTGTATTTCATTGTGCCAATAATTTTTGATTCTTGAGGCTGGAGAGATGACTCAGCAGTTAGGGGTACTGGCTGTTCTCTTGCAGAGGACCTGGGTTTGATTCCCAGCACCCACATAGTGGCTAGCAACCATCTTTAGTTAACTAGAGTTCCCAGGAATCTGACTCCCTCTTCTGACCTCCATGGGCACTGCATGACATGGGTATACTTAACACACATTCAGGCAATACATTCAAACATAGAAAGTAAAGGTAATAAAATATTTTAAAAATTGATCCTGTAATTTCTTGGTCCTACCAGAGATTTTAACTGAAGCACTCACCTAGCTCATTGCATTTCAGCTGTAATATGCTTTCCAAAGGCAGAGATGTGAGAGTGAGAAATAGGTGCTGAAGAACAGGGTGACACTGCATCATTTGTCTGATACATAGTTTGAAATATTTATTAATTGTACTGAAAAGTGACAAAAAGCTGATTGTTGATGATTCTTCATTTTGATGCCGATGTACAATCACTAAACACTGGAAATGTTGGATGCAATTATCTGTATTGACAGTGATTTAAAGACAATAGCAATTTCCCTTTTTCTAAATTTGATTTTAAGGGTAAGGAAGAACAAATAAAGGCAGCTCCTTCCAGTACTATGGAATGCCTCTGACACTTGCTGTCAGAAAGCTAAGAGCCCAATACACATTGTCTACATGGAAAGAGTGAAAATATAATGTGCTGTGAGTATACTATAAAGGCAAATAGGTTGCAAAGTACTTTGTTTTATAATTTGGTGCACATATACTGTCTGGGGAACACGCCCATGTCACATATTAAATAAATAACTACACCGGTATATGCTGGTAAAAATTCCTATGAGTGCCAGTATAAAAAATCACACACACACACACACACACACACACACACACACACACATTTGTAAGTCAGAAAAATGTTCTTGGAGATATATATTGTAAACAGTGTCTGAAAAACAAGACAGGTTTAATCTGGAATGGGAGAATGCTCTTGGGGGTGACAGGAGTGGCAGAGGTTTGAAGCAGGCAGGTGAGCAGAGCAGGAGCATCCTGAACTCCACAGGAAAGGTGTGAGATAGTAAGAGCTCCCAGGTAGGAGGTGAGGTCACTGCACAGGCATGGTGTTGAACTTGAATCTAAGTATAATTATAAGCCACTGCAGCAAATGTTTTGTGTAACCTCCATCTGTACTTCCAATATCTTATTACCTTTCAGTTTTATATCACATTTTTAAATGAATAAGCAGCACTAACATTATATCCAAACACTGCAGTTTTCAGAAAGTTGCCACTTTTACTGTTTATTACTTTGATCTTAACTCCTTTTCAGGGAGGCATGTATATGTCAGAGTGCAGGCGCTGCTGTGTATGGATGCCTATACACAAGGAGGCCACCGGTCAGCCATGGGGATTGTGCCCAAGGACATGTCCACCAGATTTTTTTTTTTTTTTGAGGGAAGATCTATCATTGGCCAGAAGCTCAGCAACTAGGCAAAACTGGCTGGCTAACAAGCCCCAGGGCCCCTCATGTCTCTGCCTCTCCATATTTGGGATTACAAGCAAGTACCACCATGCCCCTCATTTTGCCTGGACAATAGCCTCCTTTATGCATTGTTCTCTTGCTTGTACTGACTGAGCTATCTCATCAGACCCTTGCTTCCTTTGTAGCCTAAAATGCTCATCAGTGACACTGCTAACCAGGGAGTCTTCAGTCCCATAAGCTGCATGTTGCAATGGAATCTTAAAGTGATCCACGGGTGCAGTTTTTCTATTCTTTTGATGGAACCAAATGTCATTAATCTCTTCAAACTCTATGTAGCAACTTTTATTACATTACCAAGTATTGAATGTCTCATGGAAAATGGCTCTCCAATGAACCTTAAGGAAATGAGTTCAGGATCTTTGAATCCTTGCCTCTTGTACTTGTGATTTATAAAGTGGTTCCCAGACATGGCTTATAACATGCACTGTTGTGGACATCTGAACATTGGGTAAACAAGGTAAAAATATCAAAAGCATTGGTTGTGTTGTGGAGTTAAAGATATATGGGAAACAAGATAAGGAGCAGAGAGTCATTTTTTATAGAAATCAGGATGGGGCAAGTTTACTAGGAAGACACCATACCAACACTGAGACTCGAGGTGAGGCAACTGCAGGGAGTTACAAGCCTCAAAGAGTCTTTGGTCCTGCCGAAGTTCCTGACCAGTCATTCCTGTAAGAGCCGCAGCAGGCCTAGGAAAGGGCTGGGCAAGAATGCTGCTTTAGGCAGAGGCATGGAGTGCAAGGAAGAATTGCTGCAAAGGCAGCAAGCTTAGGATCCTTTCTGAGGAGTTTACTGAAAGTGACTCCAAAATGCATAGCTTTGCTTTAATGGAGATCACCTGTGCCAACTGGAGCTCTATCTGCTCATGGAAGGTTCCACCTTTGCTGTCTGAACTACGCCAAATGTCTGCATTCCCCTGCTTCTTCTCTTTGAGTGCCTGCACTCATTATCAAGTTACATGCAAGTTATATAAATGTAAATATATATATAATATACATAATATGTATATATATGTATGGCACTAAAAGAGGAATTAATAAGCTATACACAAATAGACATAACTCTTGGCTTGAGCTTTTATCCCTCTCCATGTTCCTCTCACTGTCACACAGTCACAGACTGTAATGAGATAATAAAACATGGGCAACAGCTTCTGAATTCAAAGTTCAGCTCTTCTATTGATTAGTAGATTATTCTGAGCAAATGTATTAAAATCTCTGCATCATTTTTACTCATATGTAAAATGAAAGCAACAAAGTGGCATTGTAATTGTCAACAAATAAGGTGTTGTTTATAATTGACTTAGTTTTTGATGCACAGTAGTTGTTAATAATGTCAGATGCTCCTACTCTAAAACTGGTTGGCAGCAAGATGTAGCTGCTGATCTCTCCTCTGACAGGCTCCATGGACATATTTATCCATCTTTTGTCAGAGTGTGACTTCCCTTTGTATTTTGGAAAGTATAATAAATAATAATGATTGGAATAATACTAAATTACCATGTCCTGAGCACTAGTTCTGGGCATTTGTCTCACGTGTGGCTCTAACAGAAGTATCCATTTCAAGTTTCCCGAACTCTTTCTGAAGACATTTCTGTATAAGTGTAGTTAGTGTACTTCTCAGGTATATAAAACAATCCTACAAAAGAGTATTAAAATTGTTTTCTAATAACCTGTATTTTTCTGAAGTTTTATAAAGTTAATGGTTATAACTGTGTTTTTACTTAAGGCTGGCTTAAACAATTTTTTGAAGTATGGATATTAGCAGAAACAGATGCCCTATTTTGCTTAAAATGTATGAAATGAAAGGCAGAAAAGGCTACAAAAGCTGAGCAGTTGTACGCTGTAGTCTGTGCACATGTGCCCTGGCTCCACCCTCCTTCCCTCTCTCCCTGCTTGGTACCCGGAAGTCATTTGTTTCAGACTTTACTGGTTCACTTTTCATTATTCTAATATCAATGACTGTTTCCCTTCAACATAAGGACATTCATAAAATTGAAAAAGGAGAGGGGAATAAGTAGTGAGACCAAGGATAAATTGTTAAATGTTATGCTAAATATCAATGTTTTTGTAACTGGTATCACTTGAGTAATATGCTTGTGACAGTTGTTTGTTTCTATTATGTTTATGTGATCTTTCAGTGAGTAGAAAACCATGCAACCTTTTAGCATGAAACTGCCTTAATCAAATGAAAACTGTGACTTTTTAATGAAAAGAGGAATAATTCTTCCATTAAAAATGACTATTATCTTTTTGAAGTTATAATCATTAAATCTGCTAAAAATTATCATACAGGAAATTCACAGGTATTTAAACTCACACTTGAGTCTTCTTTAACATTAGAACTCTAGGAAGGATGGTGTCCAAACTAGCAGAGCAGATGGACATCTCCTTCAATAAGGAAATGCTAGCCTCAAGAACTGATTACAAGACTACTTTTCATTTTTATGAAAATAATATTCTTCTCTAAATGTGGATGCAGGAAGATGAGAAGTTAACAGTTATCTTTGAATATATATCAAGCTCAAGGTCAGCCTTAGTCACATGAGACAGTGCCTCTATCAGTATCATCATTAACATCATCATCATCATCATCATCACCATCATCTTTGTCACCATGATGATTTCTACACAAATCCAATTTTTTAAAATACTTTATTATTTTTACTTTATGTGGAAATGTGTACTGTCTGAATGTGTATAAGCACATTTATGTCTTGCAATGCCCCCTGGAGGTCAGAAGAGGATGTCAGATCTCTTTGAACTGAAGTTAGGGATGGTTGTTAGCTGCCATGTGGTTGCTGCTGGGATTCAAACAGTGTCCTCTGCAAGAGCAAAAAGTGCTCTTAACGACTAAGCAATCTCTTCTGCAGCAAATCCAAATATTTTAAAGAATATTTTCCATTATTATATTTT